GTGTTTATTATATTCACATATTAAAAGTTGTGTTGTTGAAAAAATTTATAATAAATGTTGTCTGAGGTTTAAATAGTGGGTGGGTAATTATGGGGTGGGTGGTGTGTTGTTGTTTTTATTTATTTTTATTTATTTTTATTTATTTTTATTTATTTTTATTTATTTTTATTTATTTTTATTTATTTTTATTTATTTTTATTTATTTTTATTTATTTTTTTAAGTTACTTAAATTAAAAAAAGATTCTCTACATTGTTTTTAAATATATCTTTTATAACATTTTTATTTGTATAATATTATAAATTATTTTTTTAATATTTTTTTTTAAACTAAAAAATGAGCTTTAGTATTTCAAAATTCGAAAATGTATATTGGTTTTTAATCAATATAGGTTTTTTATTTGTAATATATATAAGCAAAAACCTCATTTCAATGTTTATTTTAGAAATAATATATCTTTTTTTTATATCTCCATTTTTTTTTAGAAAATATCAAATTGGAAGTTGTTGTGCAGAAAGAGTAATTGTTAGAAGAACAAATATTATAGAAAATATTTTTAAAAGAATTGTACATTATATTAACATAGGTGACAGGGTTTTAATTATTGGTCCAGCAGTACAACCAGGGGAGAATAGTACATATAGAGAAGCAGAAGTTACTAAAGAAATTACTTTAAGATCTAATAATGGAAATAAAAAATTTCCTTTATATACTTTACCGAAAAGGCTGGGTATATGTGTTAGTATTGAATTAAATAACAATTATTCAATTAGAGTGACCTCATATGAAATAGATGGTAAACCGAAAACATATTATAATTTAAATGTTCCATTTTCTTCTTTCAATTATGTATATTCTGAAAAAATTAATGTTTTCTCTAAACATGGTTATCATGTAGTAAAAAAAAAGTTTATAACGGAATCAAATATTAGTTCAATACAATGGTATTTTTCAGTTTTATCTATATATATAGATTTCTTTTTAGAGTTACTAAAAACATCTCCTCACTATGAAAAAGAAAACAAACAAATGGGTTTCGATAATTTTAAAATCATTCCAGGGTTTAGACCCATCTAAAATTGAAATCTAGTCATAATTTATTGAAAAAATAAATAAAAATAATAAAAAAATTATTTGTACAAATAAATATAAAAGTTTATTA